TTCAGGGACGTGAAAAAGACTAGAATCCTGGCCACCAGTGAAGACCGAAGTGAAGAACTCATTCAGCACCTCAGCTTTCTCTTCATCTGTTGAAGCCAGTTCTCCTTTTAAATTTACCAAAGTAGGTACGCCCGTTTTGGCCTGCCTCTTCTGGCCAATGTACCTGTAGAAGGTTTTCTTATTGTTTTTCACGTCCCTTGCCAAGTTCAGTTCTGCCTGCGCCTTGGCTTCCCTGATCCCACGTCTGCAAGTCCGGACGGCATTCCTGTATTCTTCCCAGGTGACACAGCCTTGTTTCCAGAGCTTGTACACCCCTTTCTTCGCCCTCAGTTCTCTCAGCAGGTCCTTGCTGAGCCATGCCGGTTTCCTACCTCGCCTGCCCACTTTCTTATTCAGAGGAATGGAGACCTCTTGTGCTTCCAGGAGGGCATCTTTGAAGAGCCGCCAGCTCTCCTCAACATCCTTGTCTTTGAGGGCAGCGCGCCAGGGGATCTTGGCCAGCAATCCATTGAGTAGTTTGAAGTTTGCTTTTCTAAAGTTTAGTGTCCTGATCCTGCTCTTTGCCAGGCCCACATCGCTTGAGATCACAAACTCAACCAGGGCGTGGTCGCTGGAGCCCAGGCAGCCTCCGACCTTGACGCCTTTGATGATCTCCTCAGCGTTGGTGAGCAGCAGGTCTAGCAACGCTTCACCTCTGGTCGGTCTGTCCAATACCTGAACCAGAAAGCTGTCGTCAATGGATTCCAAGAGCCTTCTGGAGCTCTTGCAGCTCGCCGTGTGGTTTTTCCAGCAGATGTCCGGATGGTTGAAGTCCCCCACCAGGACAAGAGCCCGTGAGCCAGACATCTCACGCATCTGGAGCAAGAAAGCCTCGTCAACAGCCTCCCCTTGATCAGGTGGTCTGTAGTATACCCCTAGCACCAGCTGACCTATATTAGTCCCATCTCTAATCCTAACCCACAGGCTCTCAACCTGTTCCTGACTGTTTCTCATAGGGAGCTCCTCACAGTTTATCCAATCCCTGACATAGAGAGCAACTCCCCCACCCCTCCTACCTCGCCTATCTCTCCTAAAGAGTCTATAGCCGTCGATGGCAGTATCCCAATTGTGGGAGTCATCCCACCATGTTTCTGTGATAGCGACAAGGTCATAACTTTCCGAGTGCATCACAGTTTCCAGTTCCTCCTGCTTGTTACTCAGGCTGCGTGCATTGGTATAAAGGCACTTCAGCCGGGCTATCCGTCTCGCCACCTTTATATGGGATCTAGGATCCCCTAGAACAGCAGCATCCCCAGCATCCCCCTGCCCTACTCCTTCCCTATGCACTCTGCCGTCATTGCCCATAGAGTTCGGTACAAGCCCTCTAATGACCCGTTCAACCCCAGTAGCCCTTATTTTGTCCCCTTCCCCCTTCATTCCTAGTTTAAAGACCTGTCAATGAGTCCCGCTAATTCTTCAGCTAAGATCCTCTTACCCCTCAGGGACAGGCTGCATGCATCAGCAGCCATCATGCCAGGTGCAGTGTAAATTGCCCCATGCTCAAAAAAGCCGAAATTCTTGCGCCTGCACCAGCTCTTAAGCCATCTATTGAAGAGTTGGGTATTTTGGATCCTCCCTGTACCTTTCCTTGACACCACGGGCATAGAAGAAAAGACCACTTGCACCCCAGCTCCTTCAAGTATACGCCCCATTCCCCTGAAGTCTTTCTTGATAGACCTCAGGCTTTCCTTTTCAACTTCCTCGCCGCCAGCCTGAATTATTAAAAGTGGGTAATAATCTGAAGGCCGAATCAACCCAGGAATTTTCTTTGAAATGTCCCTGACCCGTGCCCCAGGAAGGCAGCACACCTCTCTGCGGGTAGGGTCGGGCCGGCATATAGGGCCTTCTGTTCCTTGCAGAAGGGAGTCGCCTACGACAATCACCCTCCTGTCCTTACGGGTAGAAGCAGTCTTGAGGGTCGGGGGCGACCGCTTCGCCTGAGGCAACCTCACGGGTGAACCTGTCTCCGCACTCTCACTCGTCCCCCCCTCGACTTCCAGGGCCTCAAACCTGTTACGCAGAGGCACCTGGGGAGCCGGGGATGGTCGGGATGGGGGATGCTCCCTCCGCCGAGCAGGTACCCGTTTCCACTCCTCCTCCCTTCTCAAATTGCTGTTAGGGGGAATAGAGGACAGGGGGCTTGCTGAAACGCTGTCAGCTGGCTGGTTCCCCTTTGCCAGGTGTTTGTAAGGTGGCAGGGGCTGATGTGCTCCGTGAGGAGCCTCGTCTGTGTGCCGAGAACCTGAGGTTGAGAGGGACTGACACCACCAGTCAATCTCCCTCTCACACTCTTTTATAGTCCTCAGCCTCTCCACTTCCTCCTTCAGGCTAATCACAAGGCTGAGCAAGTCATTCAATTGCTCACACCTTGTACAAGTGCTGCCTCCTTCATGTGACATTGCAAAGGCCAGGCTGTGGCACTCCTCACAGCCAGTGACCTGCACACTAGCATCTCGTGATGGTAACTCTGTCTGAGTCGCCACACACTTCATACCGTTGTTCTCCCCTCTATGCATGCACCAGACCTCAGTCTGGCTCTGGACCGTCTTCTTGGCTACTGCCTTCCTGCTGCGTGTGCTCGGGACCACTGCATGGGTCTTCACAGTTTTTGTGTTTGAAGCCTTCTGCCGGGGTGCACCCATGGCAACCAGCAGGCTCACTAACTCAACAAGAAAGTCCTAAAGGGGTGCAAGTAATCAGCCCTGCCCTGCTGCCCCCTACCCTCACACTATTGCCGGGTTCGCTAAGTGCCCTGGCACTTACCACCAATAGCAATAACAAGACTCCTTGCAGGGGAGTGCAGACAGGGGTACCTTACAAAAGCACCACGTTAAGGCAGCCTAGGAGATAGCTGTACTACCTCCTCTGCTGTGCCTCTCGAGGGCCTTTTGTAGCAGCGATCAAGGGCCGCTTCCGGTTTGCGCCCGTTTAAATCTCCCGCCGTTACCCAGGCAACGCCCGCGCTGCGTCAGCTGCTCTCGCGAGAGTAGCCCGACTGAGAGCGGCGTCCGCACGGTTGTCGCGGGATCCTCGATGAGGAAAGCGATTAAATCCCCACGTACCTCGCTAAAAGTCGCGGCGGTTCTGCCAGAGACAGCTCCGAGCCGCGGACCTCGGCGATCAAGGCAAAAGGCTGTTATGCAAATGATACACATCTTTCATGCAAAGACAAGAATTCATTGTGAAGAGAATATAACTTTTACCAACCTAATAGCAGAATTATTTTTAGTCTCAGTTTAAGGATTATAGGAGGAGGAGGAATACAAAATTGTATTAAATGAAATGTCTCCAGAATAACAGTTACAAGGGCAATGCCTACACTTCCTAGTGCATATCCCTCTCTGTGCTCTTTCCTTTGCCATTTTGGATCTGTTCTGGAGAGAAAGATAAAGCTTATGATGAGTCATCCATGCCTGTAGGTCCTTCCTCATCAGAGCAAATATTATGTTGAGGGTGAGTTTTTCCTTCCCATTTGCTAGGAGGAATGCAAAGACCAGCATCAGGGCAGGTAAGACTGCACTGGGCAAGGGAGCTAAAGCAAATAAATAAATAAATAAATAAATAAATAAAAAATTTTTAAAAAAAAGCAAAATCAAAAAAGGCCATCCAAAAAGATCTTTTTGGGGCTGTTTTGAACCAGCAAAAGCACTTTGCCAGTGCAGGGGGTGGCAGCAGCTGGCGGCTGGTGGGCAGGCTGCTGAGGCAGTAGGGGTGGAGCCGGCAGCGCTCACTCTTATCTCTGCGATTAGCCTTGACCCTTTTCTGTGAGGCTATAAGCGGCCCCCGGGAGGGGTCAAACCGAGAGAGCTGACTTGAGAGGAGAAGAGGAATGGCAGCAGGTCCCACCTCAGCAACGCAGGTGGTGCCCTTCCCGACCTACCTCGGTTCCTCAGGTGGCTCTAAGTCATAGGTTTGAAACCCTGGAACTGCAGGGTGAGGAGGCTGAGAATGAGGTGGTAGAACAGCCGCCAAGATTTCCTAAGGAGAGGCGGTTGTCTCCACTCTTGAAGACCGCCTCTTCCGGTAAAGAAGGGAGGGTGATAGTGGTAGGAGATTCCCTTCTAAGAGGAACTGAGGACCCAATATGTGGGCCTGAGCCCTGGAGGGCAGTGTGCTGCCTCCCTAGGGTACGGGTCAGAGACGTCTCTAGAAAGCCGCCCGGGCTTATTCGCCCATCTGACTACTACCCCTTATTGGTAGTTCAGGTTGGCAGTGATGATGCTGCCAAGAGAAGCCTAAGGGCTATTAAGAATGACTTCAAGGGTCTGGAGAGGGTACTGGATGGTGCGGAAGTGCAGGTGGTCTTCTTTTCTATCCCTTCAGTGGTGGGGAAGGACACTGAGAGGATCAAAAAACCCTCCTCATTAATAAATGGCTTAGAGGCTGGTGCAGGCACAAGAACTTGGGTTTTTTTGACCATGGGGCAATTTACTCAGCTCCTGGCATGACAGCTGCAGATGGAGCTCACCTGTCTGCAAGGTGTAAAAGGATCCTAGCCCAGGAGCTGGCGGGCCTCATTGAAAGGTCTTTAAACTAGGAAAGAAGAGGAAAAGGGAAAAAATGAGGGCTGCTGAGGTTCAGGTAGTTCAAGGTTCGAAAGTGAACTTGATGGGTGATGAGGGTGGAGTTCGAAGGGATGGAGTGTGGCAGGGGAATGCTGCTTCCCTGAAGGTCTATACACTAATGCGCGCAGTATGGGAAATAAACAGCAAGAGTTGGAGATCTGTGTGCGGTTGCATGGCTACGATCTCACTGCGATCACGGAGACGTGGTGGGACAGCTGGCATGACTGGAATGTTGTCATGGAGGGCTACGTGCTTTTTAGGAAAGATCGGCCAGCGAGGCGGGGTGGTGGAGTTGCTCTTTATGTAAGAGAGCAGCTAGAATGTATTGAACTCCACCTGGGGGAGAGCGGTGTAGCAGTGGAGAGCTTGTGGGTAAGAATCAAGGGGCGGGCTGGTATGGCTGACACTATTGTGGGAGTGTGCTACAGGCCCCCTGATCTGGAGGAGGTTGATGAGGCCTTCCACAAGCGACTGGAAGCAGCGTCACGATCCCAGGCGCTGGTGCTTACGGGGGATTTCAATTATCCAGATATTTGCTGGAAAAGCAATGTGGCCAGGCACGCGCGGTCCAGACGGTTCCTGCAATGTGTTAAAAACAACTTCCTGGTGCAGGTGGTTGTCAACCTGATCAACCTGGTGGTTGAGGAATCGACAAGGAGAGGGGTACTGCTGGACCTTATTCTCACTAATAGAGAAGGGGTTGTCAGGGAAGTAAAGGTTGGGGGCAGCTTGGGTTGTAGTGACCACGAGATGGTGGAGTTCAACATCCTGAGTGGAAGAAGTAAAGCAAAAAGTAGGACTGCTACCCTGGACTTTAGGAGAGCCAACTTTGATCTCTTCCGGGACCTACTTGGAGCTATCCTGTGGGCTAGGGTGTTCGAAGGTAAGGGGGCCTCTGAGAGCTGGTTGGCATTTAAACAGCTCTTCTTCCAAGCTCAGGATCAGTGCGTCCCTGTGAGGAAGAAATCGGGAAAGGGTGGCAGGAGACCTGTGTGGATGAGCAAGGAGCTTGTGCGCAAACTCAAGGGAAAGAAGAAGGCCATGAAATGTGGAAAAAGGGTCTGACCACTTAGGAAGAATACAGGAATGTTGTCAGGGCCTGCAGGGATGCGACGAGGAAGACTAAAGCCTGCCTGGAATTAAATCTGGCAAAGGGGATAAAGGATAATAAAAAAGGCTTTTTTAAGTGCATTAACAGTAAAAGGAAGACTAGGGAGGATGTGGCTCCCCTGCTAAGTGACGGGGGTGTTCTGGTAATGGGGGATGCTGAGAATTCAGCATCTCCGCTGAGAAGGCGGAGATACTGAATGCCTCCTTTGCTTCTGTTTTCAGTGAAAAAGCTCCCCTTCGGGAATCCGAGACCCTGGAGGTTAGTGAGAGGGTCTGGGGAATGGAAGACCTCCCTTCAGTCAGGGAAGAGGTGGTCTGAGAGCGCCTAGGCAACACCAGTGTTCACAAATCCATGGGACCCGATGGGATGCATCCATGGGAGCTGAGGGAGCTGGCAGAGGTGATTGCTGAACCGCTTTCGGTCATCTTTGAGATGTCTTGGAGGACGGGGGAGGTGCCTGAAGACTGAGGATAGCCAATGTCACTCCGGTCTTCAAAAAGGGCAAGAAGGAAGATCCAGGCAATTATAGGCCAGTCAGCCTCACCTCTGTCCCTGGAAAAGTGATGGAACAACTTGTGCTGGATGTCATCTCCAGACAACTGGGAAAAAAGGAGGTTATCAGGAGTAGTCATCATGGGTTCACCAGGGGGAGGTCGTGCTCAACCAACCTGGTAGCCTTCTATGATGTTGTCTCTGGCTGGGTGGATGGGGGGAGAGCAGTGGATGTAGTCTACCTTGATTTCAGCAAGGCTTTTGATACTGTCCCCCATGACATCCTTATAATAAAGCTGAGGAAGTGTGGGATAGATGAGTGGACAGTGAGGTGGGTTGAGAACTGGCTGACTGGCAGAGCGCAGAGGGTCGTCGTTGGCGGTGCAGAGTCTGGTTGGAGGCCTGTAACCAGCGGTGTTCCTCAGGGGTCTGTGCTGGGTCCGGTCTTGTTCGACATCTTCATCAATGACCTTGATGAGGGGATGGTGGCCACCCTCAGCAAGTTTGCTGTTGATACGAAGCTGGGAGGATTGGCTGACACGCCTGAAGGCTGTGCTGCCATTGAGCAAGACCTGGACAGGCTGGAGAGCTGGGCAGAAAAAAAACGGATGAGGTTTAACAAAAGCAAGTGTAGAGTCTTGCATCTGGAGAGGAATAATTGCATGCACCAGTACAGGTTGGGGGATGAGCTGCTGGAGGGGAGCTCTGCGGAGAGGGACCTGGGTGTCCTGGTGGACGACAGGTTGGCCATGAGCCAGCAGTGTGCCCTTGTGGCCAAGAGGGCCAATGGCTTACTGGGGTGCATTGCAAAGAGCGTGGCCAGCAGGTCGAGGGAGGTGATCCTCCCCCTCTACTCTGCCCTGGTGAGGCCTCATCTGGAGCACTGCGTCCAGTTCTGGGCTCCCCAGTACAAAAAAGACAGGGATCTCTTGGAAAGAGTCCAGCAGAGGGCCACGAAGATGGTGAGGGGCCTGGAGCATCTCCCCTATGAAGAAAGGCTGAGTGAACTGGGTCTGTTCAGCCTTGAGAAAAGGAGACTGAGAGGGGACCTGATCCAGGTCTATAAATATCTGAGGTGTGGGGGGCAGAATGGCGAGGACAGACTCTTTTCAGTGGTGAGTGGAGACAGGACAAGGGGAAACGGCCGGAAACTGCAGCATAGGAAGTTCTGCACCAATGTGCACAAGAACTTCTTTACAGTGAGGTGATGGAGCACTGGAACAGGCTGCCCAGGGAGGTGGTGGAGTCTCCTTCTCTGGAGATGTTCAAGACCTGCCTGGATGCCGAGCTGTGCGACCTGCTGTAGGGAACCTGCTTTGGCAGGGGGTTGGACTCGATGAGCTCTGGAGGTCCCTTCCAACCCCTACAATTCTGTGATTCTGTGTGATATAGACATAGATGGCTTCCTCCTCCTAAGTCTGAGGCAGTTTGTATATATGTTCTAACATCTTTTACAGTTTAATCTTTCTTCACTGGCATGTAATTCCGTGACAGATCCAAATTTGCTGTATATGAAGTTAACATATTTATTAGATACGTGCCCTTTGTTCTTTTGCTCTAGGACTTGGCCTGACCACTGCTAGATTGCTCATAGCTGTGGAAGTTCCAAGGTCAGCCTGTGCCCTGCCTCCTGTTTTTTCCTGGCCTGTCCTCTTGTCCTCTTCCCAGGCTCCAGCTGTGGCATCACGTACCTTCCTCTGTGCTACATTAATGTACTGGGGTCATAAACACCTTTTAATACAGAAAAAGCAGCTTGGCACTCTGTTTAAAAAATAAACAGAGTGCCATAAGATTACACAAACATGCATAAGTCAAACAGAACAGGTGGGTAAAAACAGAGCTTGACAAGTCCTAGGGACCTTGCGAAGCTACTGCAAAACCAAATACTAGTGATGACCATTCTGTTTTTACTAGGCTGAAGGATAGCAGAGCTAATTATATTTTGTTTACCCTGCCCATAGCATAAACAAACAGACACATATTGAAATTGCACATGTTTCCAGATGTGCATGCTTGTATTCACAGGGACTAATAGGGGCACACTGAAAGCTAATTTGGTACCCTAACATTTGCAGGTCAGGGCTTCAATGACAATTCAGGAGAGTGTGAAGCAGTCTGTCATTACTGCAATTACCAAGCTCAGGGTTTACATCTGTTCTGTGGGTGGCTGGTGGACACAAAGTTTTCTCCTGGGGCAGGTCAAATAAACATCCAAGAGAGGAAATGAACGTGTTTGTTCTGATGAAAGTAAAGCTAGAGGACTGTGTGGTCCCCTGGTTCCCAGTGATCAATGAGATTAAACTGACGTTCATCAAGTAAGGTTCCCCTCAGATTTCCTGAGGTATCCCAACACAGCAGATAAAGTTTCCTGAAAACTCTAGTGTCTGTGTTTAAAGTTGGAAGTGTCACCGGAGAGTCAGGAGTTGCGCGCTGGTGTCTGAAAGGCCCAGATACCATCCTGTGCCCACATTCCCCAGGACTGAAAAAGCATAGTAGTACCCAAACGTCATGCCACGGGCTGTAAGTTTCAGAGTCGGCCATGGGTATGATCCAGCTTGGTCGTAAACAATCCAAGAGCAGCCACGAAAAGCTACTATGATGGGTATTGCTGGTCTCATAACCCAGGTACCTGGCTGGCAGCTAGTACGTGAAGTCTTTGTCTTCAGGGCCTGCAGCTGAGAAGGTGAGAGGAGCTCCTTCCTAGTGGCTGTCATCATGCCCGAGCTCACTAGAGGGCCCCAGACATTGCATGGAAACTCATCACGCAGGAATCTGGATCACATCTTATAAAATCTGCTTGTACAGGCAGCAGTATATTATTTCCTTTTTATTATTTCCTTTCTGCTGTGGTGGATCCGTTTCTGTCCCCCGGGCAGCTGATGTCTGTGCACAGGGCGATCCTCTCTGACTGTCAAGGCAGGACTGTAGGACAGCAGAAAGAGAAATTCTGCAACGCTTCTGCAACACTTTCCGTGTCCATGGAGTGTTTGTCTGAAGGTTTGTTGTGTTCTTTTATTAGGTGGCAAAACTGCTAAACAAGCACTTCTACACAGTGACATGCAACGTGAAGAGCCAAGGCTCAGCTAAGGAGTGTGGTATGAGGGAGGGTGAAGGGGAAATGAGAAAAGTGGAAATAGCCCTGGGCTCTGTGGGAGGTGCTGAGCATTTGGCAGTCTTGATTAAGAAGTTGCACATCCTTGTGTTATTTTCATGGGTCCCTGGCCACAGCTTTTACAAGTACTTCTGCTACCTGGGTATTTACTGTGACTGCAGGAAGCAAGAGATCACCCAACGAGTGCATCAGCTCACCGTGGGCCAAGCAAGACATGGTGATGAGCCACCTTACCACTGCCACTGAGCCCTGTGTGTTACGGCAACCATCTCCTGGGTTGAGCCTTCATCCCTGCAATTGCTGCATGACCAGTTTTTCCAAGGCAAGAAGATGTTCTTCTCATCTTTAGATTCAAACTCCACATTACTCACAATCAGCCTGAGCCACATCTAAATTATGCTGGGTCCTTCCACAAATCAATCCATTGCCAATTCTTTGGAGATCAGAATGAAGTTGTTCCCAGATTCCTTTGTGTCACAGCAATTGAATTTTTCAAGGACTTCATGGCCTGAAGGCTTGGATACTTCCTAAAGAGGGTATTCAAGAGAAGAAGACAGGCATGAGTAAAACAATTTCTGTATGAGGATATTTGGAGCTTTATTCTGCTTGTGTCAGCCATGTAGGAGGAGGCATGCAGTAGGCAGTGAGCAGAGGCCAGAGCAGCTCCATGGCCAGAAGGCCACAAAAGCACTCACTTTGGGACTGGACCCAGGGCAAGAAGCCAGAGAGGTTTACAGACACAGCTGGTTTGAACACAAAGCTGCACCTTTAGCCTGCTCATGCTTACCAGGGTTTGCATAGTGCAAAATGGCAAATATCAGCAGCTTTGTACCACCACAAAATACTTCCTTATGACTGGTCACAACAGCTACCATGAGTATTAAAAAAACAAAATGAAACAAAACAATAAAGATGGGTGGAAATAAATGGCGCTGTGGGTGTTTCACTCCACTAGTGAGAAATTTGCTTAGAGTAGGGCATGACTGTAGACCCCGTAGCTCCCTGTGTACAGAGCTGTAGGGTGAGTGCCATTGTGGAGCAGCACACTGATGGGAGCTTGTGTGCAGGCTGCAGGGTGAGTGCCATGGGGACTGCCAACAGCAGAGTGAGAACTGCAGACAGAGCTAGGGAGAAATGAGGCCAATTTCAAGTGAGGGAAGAAACATTT